CCCTGGTCCCCGCCCCCTCTTTAGATTCACCAGATACTTTTTGGTGGCAAGGTGGGGAGGGGGGTGGTGGTGCGGAGCGGACCCGGGAGCGGGCCTCTGCCGGCGTCGAGGCAGCGCCAAGAGCCAAGAGCCAGAGGCGGAGGCAGAGCGCACAGACCCCAAACAGACGTCGTCGGGCGCTTGGAGCTGAAGAGCTGAGGCTGAAGCTGAGGTTGAAGCTGAAGCTGAAGCTGAAGCTGAGCTGAGCTGAAGCTGAAACTGAAGCTGAAGCTCGTGCTGAAACTGAAGCTGAAGCTGAAGCTGAAGCTAAAGCTGAAGAGCTGGGGCCGCCGAGAAGCCGAATCCGAAGCCGAGACCGAGCGCCGCGCGCTTCGATCGCCGTCGATCATTCGTTTGGCGCTCTGCTCGCTCGCTCACTCGCGCGCTCGAAGCGGGCTCGAGTTGTTATAAAAGTGGCAAGGACATACGGTCGAGCCATTAGTCGAAAACTATAAACGCTCGACGCGAAATCGTCTCCGGGTCTCCGTCTCCGTAGCCACCGTAACCAAAAATACGCCAACCGCCAAAAGCCAACCGCCAACGTTACGAATAAATACAATTTTTTTTTGTTCGCTCTGTCAGCCTACCCCCAAAAACGAACCGTATCCCAAGGATCCGATTCGAATTGAATTGAATTTTTTTTCAAGTGCCTGTCGAAAGCCAATAAAAGCAAAAGTGACCAATGGCCGCCAAGCAGTGCAGTAAATAAGAGAGACGCCACACCAGGGGAAACAAGCCAGAAGGCGCTAGCCACCAGAAACCGAGCCAAGAACCGAGCACCAGAACCCAGAAAGGAAGCACCAGGAGGAAGCACCAGGAGGAAGCACCATGCTGGCCGACTCGTACCTGATCAAGTTCCTGCTGCGCCAGCTGCAGGTGCAGCAGGATGGCGACGCCCAGCACCTGCTGATGGTCTTCCTGGGCCTGCTGGCCCTCGTCAGCCTGCTCCAGTGGCTGCTGCGGAACTACCGCGAGCTGCGCAAGCTGCCCCCGGGTCCCTGGGGCCTGCCCGTGATCGGGTATCTGCTGTTCATGGGCAACGAGAAGCACACCCGCTTCATGGAGCTGGCCAAGCGCTACGGCTCCCTGTTCTCCACCCGACTGGGCAGCCAGCTGACGGTCGTGATGAGCGACTACAAGATGATCCGCGAGTGCTTCCGGCGCGAGGAGTTCACCGGACGCCCGGACACCCCCTTCATGCAGACGCTGAACGGCTATGGTGAGTTGGGATCGGGATTTGGGGGTGTTGTGGAGCCCCAAGACGGGTGTGTGATATAACTAGGGCCTGATAACCCACCTGCCTGCAATCTATTTGTGACAAATTAGTTTTTACTACTCTGTTTACTACGTACCTATAGTACCCAGAGTACGTAGGCTGGAAATATTTTCCTCAAATCCGCTGCGAAAGCGAAAAGTTATCAACCCATCTGCGGGAGCCAAGTCCAGGCTTCAGCTATATATACGTACATATAGCACTTACAGTACCTGAGATCTTGTGAGATTGTAAGGCGTAATCGTGCATTAAATACTTAAGGCCCCCTATTAAGCGAAGAAATTCCACTCGCATTTCTCGGTCGGTTTATTTTCTTTCCGCTCTCTTTGATTTTCGATTTTATTTTCATTTTTAATTTTATTTTGATTTCGATTGCCTTTAGCTGCACTTATTCATATATGTACGTATTACACCCAATGATAAGGCATTGCTGCACTTTTTTCCTGCCGCAAAATCACGTTTTTGGCTTTTGTTTCGTTTTTGTGTTTTGCGCACTTTTCACTGGGATTTCTTTTCTGGTATTTCGTTTTGACGAAGTAGGGCAACCGTCCCATCGGGCCCATCAAGAGCCTACCTCAATTAAATGTAGAAATGGCGACATAAAAAATTAAAAATAAAGATAAGCGCGCGCATGCCATTCGATTGGAGACGATCCCATGCGATCCGATCCCATCTCATCCGTTGAAGCCCAAGTCTCAGTACCACTCCGCTTCCCTTGCAGGCATTATCAACAGCACTGGCAAGCTGTGGAAGGATCAGCGCCGCTTTCTGCACGACAAGCTCCGCCAGTTCGGCATGACCTACATGGGCAACGGCAAGCAGCAGATGCAGAAGCGCATCATGGTGAGTCCAGCTAATCCCGCCGAGCCTCCCAGGAGCAGCCGCTAACCCTTGCCCTTTCCCCACCTTCTTCTCCCCCGCAAACAGACGGAAGTGCACGAGTTCATCGGCCATTTGCACGCCAGCGATGGCAAGCCCGTCGACATGTCGCCCGTTATCTCGGTGGCCGTCAGCAATGTGATCTGCAGCCTGATGATGTCCACCAGGTTCAGCATCGACGACCCGAAGTTCAGGCGCTTCAACTTCCTCATCGAGGAGGGCATGCGACTGTTCGGCGAGATCCACACCGTTGACTACATCCCCACCATGCAGTGCTTCCCCAGCATCTCGACGGCCAAGAACAAGATCGCCCAGAACCGCGCCGAGATGCAGCGCTTCTACCAGGACGTGATCGATGACCACAAGCGCAGCTTCGATCCCAGCAACATCCGCGACCTGGTCGACTTCTACCTGTGCGAGATCGAGAAGGCCAAGGCCGAGGGCACCGATGCCGAGCTCTTCGACGGCAAGAATCACGGTAAGTTCAAGTCACAGTCCCTTCGGTTCCCATCCCCACCAGCAGCCGTTGTGTCCACCCGGAAGTCCTCTGACCTCCGCTCTCCCTCTCTCTTTTTTCTCGCAGAGGAGCAACTGGTTCAGGTGATCATCGATTTGTTCTCCGCCGGCATGGAAACCATCAAGACCACTCTGCTGTGGATCAACGTGTTCATGCTGCGCAACCCCAAGGAGATGCGCCGCGTCCAGGACGAACTCGATCAGGTGGTGGGACGCCACCGCCTGCCCACCATCGAGGACCTGCAGTACCTGCCCGTCACCGAGTCCACCATCCTGGAGTCCATGCGCCGTTCCAGCATCGTTCCCTTGGCCACCACTCACTCGCCCACAAGGTAAGCCTCCAACGAGATTGGGATTCACTTAAGGGGGAATGGGGATCGGGGGATGGGGGATCTGGCCAGAGGAGCTATCAGCAGATGGAGTGCTTACGCACTGGCGTTCAGAGATCTACGCAAATGCCGCGAGGTCCGTTCATTCACACCAGATCTCTGCGATTGCCATTCATTGTCGTGGCTTTCCTCCATTCAGCTGGCTCGTGCCCGGAGCCCCTGGTGCCCCGCTCCCCAAGCTCCACCACTGCATCGAGACCTCAGCAGTGCGTGGCCCACTTTTTTCCGAAGCCAGATTAGTGGCAGTGCGCAGTGGGCCCAGCCCCTGCCGCTCGCTGATAATCGCCGATGCGCCGATCACAAACTAATCACAATTTCCCCTTCCTGTCCGCCCCCCCTCTCGTCCACTCTAGGGATGTGGAACTCAACGGGTATACCATACCGGCCGGCTCGCATGTCATCCCGCTGATCAACAGCGTCCACATGGACCCCAACCTGTGGGAGAAGCCCGAGGAGTTCCGCCCCTCGCGATTCATCGACACTGAGGGTAAGGTGCGCAAGCCGGAGTACTTCATCCCCTTCGGAGTGGGCCGGCGGATGTGCCTGGGCGACGTGCTGGCGCGGATGGAGCTCTTCCTGTTCTTCGCCTCCTTCATGCACTGCTTCGACATCGCCCTGCCCGAGGGCCAGCCGCTGCCCAGCCTCAAGGGCAACGTGGGGGCCACCATCACGCCGGAGGCCTTCAAGGTCTGCCTCAAGCGCCGCCCCCTGGCGCCCACCGCCGCCGATCCGCACCACATGCGCAACGTTGGCGCCAACTGAGGCGGATGCGGATGCGGATGCGGTTCCGGTCCGTTCCAGAGCACGGTTTTGTTCCTACACAAACAAACAACAAAAAAAAAAGAGAAAAAAAAGAAAACAGAGCTAGAAGGGAGAGGCCAATTCCATTCGGGCTTCGTGCCGAGCTATCCATTTAGCCATAAGTTAGTAGCTATCCGCCCGTGGGAGGAGCAGATCCTGATCCTGGCCAGATCCTGGCCGGACAAGGAGCAGAGCAGCCGGAAGCTGTGAGGACTGCAGAGGACTGCAACCAATTCTATTCTTTCACCCCCAAGAAGCTGTGTTCAACTAATTGTAATTACACCCCTAGTTGTAGCCTAGTTACGTTCGATTCTATCGCTAATGTTAATGTTTTTTATTATTATTACCATAATTATTATTACCGCTAATATTACGATAATGCTATGTCTAAAGCCAGCAGGCCGATTAAGTGTAGTTAGCTAACGTTCTTGTTTATTCCTAGTATTAGTGCTAGCTTAATGTCCAAACAACAAACAACAAAACAAACTGTGGTTTAGTCTTACAAGCACACATCAAAATAGGCAACAATTCGAAAATAAAGAAAAACTTGTGAAAAAAATAATTAAAAAACAGGTGCAAATAACTCTTACATTTTTTATTGGAGGTCACAATATCCCACGACGTAAGATTTTAATTGTATAAGTATTTCGACGGTTTATTTCTAGCTACCTGAATCACTCTGAGCTGGAGGATTGCTTTCCTGACTTTCTCTGTTTAAACATAATAATAATGACACTTCGTTCAAACCAACCATATAATTAAAAAGCGAATAATAGAAAAGAAAATTTTATCGACAAAAGTAGTTTACAATAATTAATAACTAATAACTGTTACCGCAATCAAAAAGTCTACAAAATTACCAGGAATTGCCAGCATATATAGAAAATAAACTTTTTTGTTATAAAGTTTCGTATGAAAAGCCATAGGCAACTCAGAAAATTGCATTCCAAGAATAATAAATAATAATTAAATGATTGTCTTACCGTAGTTTTTGGAGCGTAATCTTAAATTGTAGTTTTATACCTACACACAAAAATATGGTACGGGTATATTAGACCAATACGAATAGTTACGTAACTATTAAAAAAGTTAACAGCTATTAGTGACGTGTATTTTATTGTTGCTTTGGTTACTATTAAAAAGTAAAACTACTATAAAATGGTAAGTTGAGTGTATTTTGTTGTTGCGAGAGTAACTTATCGTTGGTCATATTGACAATTCAATGCTTTGGGACCATTCAACTATATCCGTAAATTTTACCTAAAAGATTCTTGGTGTGTATTTCAAGCAATTTATAAGAACGATAAACAGGGCATTCGACTTTTTAATTGGCATTAGCAATTAAGTGTCCACAAATAATGCCTTTTTGCAGAAATGATTTCAATTATTAGAAAAGACTGGGGTCGATGTTTAAGCTTAACTTTGGCCTCTTAGTAAAAGCACCCCTTTACAATTTATTAGATTATTTATTATATTAAAAATGTACATACATTTTAGTGCCATATATGACAGCATATAAATAAGGTTAGGATAATTGATTTATTCCGAAAAATGCCAAGTCAAAGCTTTGGAAAGTTCAAAATTGTTTGCTCCTCAATTCGGATCTCCCAAAGAAAAGCATTTCCCATTCAAAGAAAGGCATTAAATAGGCCCCCATTCACAAAAGGTTATCATATAATCGTTAATAAAATACAAAAAAAATTGGGATAAAAAAAGTAATGTTATTAGGATGTCAAACCTAGTCCTTGGACACCGTTCCGCTCCTCGCGCAACTCCACCAACGGCAACTTTGTGAACAGCAGCTTGTGTGGAGGGGGGGTCAGGGTGATGCCGCTCTCGCCCTCCATGTCCACCTCGCAGCCCGGTGGCAGCTCCAGGTGGAAGCGCCTTAAGATGCGTCCCGCAAAGAGGGTGAGCATCATTCGGGCCATCTCGTCGCCGGGACACATCCGGTTGCCCGCCGAGAAGGGGATGAACTGCGGGGGCGCCGAGTAAGCTCCGTCGGGGGTCAGGAAGCGTTCCGGGCGAAACTCCTCCGGTTCCGGGAAGGCCTCCGGGTCCATGTGGATGGCCCACTGCAGGGAAACAATCATCGAGCCGCGCTTGATGTGATAGTCGCCCATGGTGAAGTTCTGCTTGCTCCCGTGCGGAATGCCCAGTGGCACCACGCTGCGGATGCGCAGCGTCTCGGAGATGCAGGCCCTCAGGTAGGTCAGTGGCTCCAGCTCCTCCAGGGTGGGTGTCGGGCCCAGCGGTAGGAGGAGCTCGTGCAAGCGACGCTGGCAGCGCTGCTCGCGGGCCAGGTAGAGCAGGAACCAGCGCAGGGTGGCCAACGAGGTGTCCACGCCGGCACCGAAGAGGTCGGCGAGCAGGTGGCGCAGTTGGTCGTCGCAGTAGAGCTGCGACTCCCGATCTCGGTGGATGAGGAAGTGCTCCAGGATGCACTCCGGCTCGTACTCATCCTCGTCGATCTCGTCCTCATCGCTCAAATCCACATCGGTGTCCTCCTCGTTGTCCTCCGGCCTACTTTCCTGTCCAGACTCCTGCTCATCTGCCGGCTGGCTACGCTGTTCCTCCAGCAGCTTCTCCTGTCGCCTCAGCTCTTGGCGCTCCCTGAACATCTTCTGCTTCTCGTTCAGCCGCTGGGCACAAGCGTCCACTATGCGGTCGTAGATGGCGTGCGTCTTGGCCTTGCCCTCCAGCAGGAAGCGGATGTTGCGCTCGTTGGAAGGCAGATGACGCAGCCAGGGCAGGAAGTTGACCACCCCCGAGACGCCAATCAGCTTGACGCCCTCCTCCTGCAGCCGCTGCAGATACAGCCAGTCGGGATCGTCCTGCTTGTAGGTGACTCCGAATACCAGGTCGTTGATTATGTTGCCAAGCGTGTGGTGCAGGGCGGGTTGCGGGTTCAGTTCCGACCCACAACTCTTCTCCGCCTCCGCCTCGTAAAGCTAAAGGAGAAAATGTAGGGTATAATCATATTTCCTGATCGTTTCCATAGTTATACCCGTTACTCGTAGAGTAAAAGAGTATATTAGATTCATCGGAAAGTATGTAACAGGTATAAAGATGCGTTTCCGATCCTATAAAGTATGTATACTAATAATATAAAGTCGATCTAGCCATGTCCGTATGAACGCTGGGGTCTCGGAAACTATAAAATCTAGAAAACTGGTACTATGCATACAGATTCTAGGGGTTCTATAGTCGCGCAAGTATGTTTCAGCGGAGTGCCACGCCCACTCTAACGCCCACTAACGCCCGTAATTCTAAAACCCGTCTAGCGCCCACATCCTTGAATATTTTGTATATGTGTAAAATTGATTTTGTTTTGATTATCAATAAATCGGACCATCCATTAAAAAAAATTAATCAAATGTTGTGCTATCTTGAAAACAGTCGCTTTGTGGTTTGCATATCTCCTTCTCCCTCGCACTCCCCTTAGCAGAGTAATGGGTATCTCGTAGTCGAGGTCGTCTACTATATAGCTCTCTCTTTCTATACCCGTTACTCGTAGAGTAAAAGGGTATACCAGATTCGCCGGAAAGTATGTAACAGGCAGAAGGAAGCGTTTCCGACCCCATAAAGTATATATATTCTTGATCAGGATCACTAGCCGAGTCGATCTAGCCATGACCGTCTGTCCGTCTGTCTGTCCGTCCGGATGAACGCTGAGATCTCGGAAACTATAAAAGCTAGGCTATTGAGATTCGGCGTGCAGGTTTCTGAGCTTCTTACGCAGAGCAAGTTTTTTGTCAGCAGAGTGCCACGCCCACTCTAACGCCCACAAACGCGCCAAAACTGTGGCTCCTACAGTTTTGATGCTAGAATAAAAATTTTAACTGAAATGTATTGTTCTCGTCAATATCTATCGATTGATCCACGCCCACCCTAACGGCCATAACGCTTAAATCTGTCTACCGCCGGTAGGTGGCGCATTTTAATCTCGCTTTGCTGCTTGCATATCTCCATATCCCTTTGGCCCCTTTAGCTGACTTACGGGTATCTGATAGTCGAGATACTCGACTATAGCGTTCTTCCTTGTTTTCACATGGTTTTATACAGGATAAAAATCCAAAACTGGTATCAAGACTTTGGTTCACATGATAACTTGTGATCACCATATCATAACTTGACCTTTCGAAATTGAACTCAATGAGTACATTTATCTATCATTAAACCATCAAATGTTTCAAATAAAACTACAAAAAATTGCAATCAGAATTTTACTGCTTGAATATTCTGACTTTAAAAACAGTTTTGATAATTCAAGATTTGGACAGCGCATCATAAGTGAGTTCCTAAATCGTATACCCACCATAACTTTCCGCTCAAAAGCTAGCCACTGTATTTTTCAACTCCTCTTCAAACACTTAGATAATCTGATTCTAAAAATTACATAAGCTGTTTTGCTGAAAGCTCTTTAGAAATCTTTGAATTAATTGCTCTCCAGGTGTTCGTTCCGCCGTTTGGCATGGAAACGCGCCAAAGAGCTCGCCCAATTTATGCAATGTCGTTTTTATTTTTTGCTGACCCAAGCGAGTTGTTGGTGGAAGTGGAGTCACTTACCCGGACGCACTCGTCGACGCCCCGCCCGATGCGCTCCTCCAGCCGGGCACGAAGCCTTCCCGGACGACGGGTCATGCCCAGAGCCTTGAGCCATTCGCTTGTCTCACGCCGGGCATGCCGCCAGATGTCACCCTGGGCGCAGATGATTCCTGTCGAGAAAGGACGGGCAGCCAGTGAGCTGGAAAGGCCCTGAGTACTAGCATATTATCTCACCATATCCACCCATTATGCCGTGGGTGAGGTACAGTGGAGCCCGGCCGGTCATCACCTCGCGGCGAAAGAAGTCCCGCACCAAAGCGGCATCCGACAGGACCACTGTCCGCACCCTGCCCATCTTCAGCTCGAAGATGCCGCCATACCGCTTGGCCAGCGCCTGGAGGGACTTGTGCGGAGCCCGGGCGTCCAGGAAGGGCAGGTAGCCCAGCCAGGGCAGACCCCAGGGTCCCGGCGGTGAGACCCCCAGAATGTCATCGTAGCGGTGCTCGCACAAATAGAGGATCACCGGGATGAGCAGACACGGAACCAGCAGGGTGACATAGAGGCTCTCCACCGAGGACATCCAACCGGTGTGGACAAGATCGCCGATGGTCCCCGTCATCACTTTCGATTTCCGCTCGCTCTCACTCTCACTTTGCCTTACCCACGCCTCAGACAGCCTTCCTTTCCTGTTAGAGTGTTCTCGAATTCTCGGATCCAAACGTCCAGTCGCCAGCAGAGCTCTGCGATTACTGGAATTTCTTTAGAATTTGAAACGAGTCTCTCGGGCTCCGCAGAAATGCAAACAGGGCAGCGGCGAGCTGTCAACGTGTGTCTACGTCAGCAACGGGAACGGAGGAAGAGCGACCGCCGAAGGCCGTCCAGACAATGGTAACATCGGTCTCGGCAATACCAATATACCAGGCCTGGTAGAGCCTGGTATTGGGCTTGGGTTTCGGCATCGAAGAAGGAGAGTGCGAAAGTGAAATTTGAAAATGAAATCATTCGGGTATTTATCATATGCACATTCATTACACCCACTCACCGAGATCGAAAGGCTGAGCTATTGAGTACCTTTGCATCTGGATTTCCAGATATCTGGATAGATGGATCTGCATGTGTGCCAGGGCGAAACAAGGGTATTCAGCGACCCTGCTGGCCCATCTCGAGTACCTAACTCCGGCGTTCTACGGGCAGATACATTTATTCAATCGGCCGTCTGTCTGCCGGCCTTTCCATTTCTATTTCTGCCACATTTGCACTTTTCTTGTGTGTTCCTTAATTTCGCGGCTGCTGAATTGCTTTCAATTTGGGTTTACCCAAGCCACAGGAGGCCTTAGAATATGGCGGGGTTTTCCCTGCACAGAGAGAAAAATAAATGTGCAACCACAGTAGCCATCCAACAATTCAGAAAATCAGAAAACAAAATAAGGATGTAGTTCGCCTCTAAACATCAATATGTTTGTTCTCTGTGTGGAAAAGACTAGGAGCTCCTTGGATAAACGCCTTTGCCTGGGGATTTCCAGCGGCCTGAACCGTCTGAGTCATGTGAGTGCTACGACTTCTGGACAGGAATGGCGAATGGGAAAGGAAGTGGAAAGGGCTCGCGAGGCTGGACAAACAAGTTCAGGGCCAATGGCATGCGCTAAAATAGATCCGCCGGCCGTTGACTCCTCGCGCGGGCTGTGGACAAAGGAGCAGAGCATCGGCACCGGCACCGGCATCGGCATCAAGATCTACGATCACTGGGATCGCCGCTTTAGCTTTAGCCGTGGCATTAACTTGAAATTTACCTGTACATTTTAATGACCCGCCAGTGGCAACGGGCTCTGGGACCTGGCTGCGTGCAGCGGTCGCCGAACCTTTCCATTGTCCAGACACTAGGGTCCCCATCCCCATCCCCATCCCCATCCACAGCCACTTCCACATCCACATCCACCGAGCAGCGACAATGTTCTTGAGTGGCAGACGGTTCAACAGACGCCAAGATCATTGGCCTGTCGGGGCAACATCCTATGGCAAAGGGAAAGGACATGAACCCAAAGGCGAGCGGATGCTGCCTGTCAACGCGGCCTGAATTATTTTTAAACCCTTTCGACTGACTTGCCAGTGTGGCTGAAGGACCCGCCAAAGAGCGAGACTCGAAGATCGCAGCGGAGACTGCGATTGGATTTGCGGTGGTCGGGGTCACCAAACCTAAATTCGAAACTTGATAACTTCGGTACATCAATAATACGACATCATAGCTAAAGTACCTCTATCGAACTACCAATTGATCATAAATTGGGCCTCATCTAAGCATTTAAGTCTTATGGGTCTTGAAATAACGTTAGCTTAGATACCTTAACTAACTTTCAGTCGGAACTAGGTTATACTTTGGGCTCTAATCTTTTAAAAATCGCAGAGGAGACTGGGATTGGGTCTACGGTGGTCGGGGTCACCAAACCTAAATTCGAAACTTTATAACTTAGATATGACAATAATACTACATCATAGCTCCAGTACCTATATCACGCCTCCAAATGATTATAAAGTGACCATATTCTAAACATTAAGATATGTCTTATGGGTCTTCAAATACTTAGTTACCTTAGCTACCTTAAATCACTTATTTCAATCACTACTAGGTTATAATTTGGATCTTAACCTTTTAAAAATCGCAGACTTGGATCACCAAACCCAAATTCAAAACTCTATATCTTAGATTTGGCAACAATACAACATCAGAGCTCTAGAACTTCTATCTATGAATTAAGCTTATTCTTAAATGTAAGATAAATCTTATTTACTTACTTTAGTTACCTTAACTTATTTATTTCAATCGCAACTAGGATATACTTTTGGTCCTAACATTTTAGGGTGATACAGCCGGAAGGATTGGGGCTCGAAGATCCAAGAAGACCATGCAATTGGACTTGGGGCGGCCACCTCACTCCAGAGATAGCGCACGACGCATTTCCACACACTCATGCTGATATAATGCGTCTAATCAGCGCATTGCTCACGAAATTTCGGAGTGTGCTGGAACTGGAAATCGAATCGAATCGGGGGCACCCCATGGCACCCGGCTCACGTGGCGTATTCGCGTTCTCTTATCAGGCCGGGCACACAGAGACACGGGTTTCGTCAGGCGCTTTTATTGCAGTTGCAACAGCGTATTGTTGATTGTGGGGTGGTCTCAGCCCCAGCCTCAACCCCCATCCCATCCCAGAACCACCCGCCGGGGGCTTTGTTCCTTCTGTACGACCGCATCCCATCATGTTTACCCTTTGCACGCCCAATATTGTCGAAAGCCCACTGCTGCTCCACCCGAGCTGCTGCTCCAGTGCAGAAAAATGTGTCAAGGTAGTTTGCATGCTTTATTTTTTAACCCAATTCCAATGTTTATACACTCATCCAATATATGTGTTTGCTTGGCTTTTTTTCTGCTGCTTCTATGCGACGAGGTTTTATGGCACGCGCCGCGAATGGAATGGTAATTCAAGCCCCCCCATGTGCTGTGTCCGCTGGCACGGCGACATTAATGGAGCATCTCGCATTTGGTGGCAAAGTCCAAGGTTGAGCCCCAGAACCGCTGGCCAGGCCCTCGTCTGCTCTTTCACCCCGAGTCAGCGCTTTTCCCGTTGCCCGCGGTCGCGAGTCGCATTTTGGATACCCCAGCTGAGGGGGCCCTTTGGCCCCATGGCCAATTGCTCGAGGCAGTGCATCCGGCAGTCGGCGCTGGAAGGTGGGCCTCTCCAGCGGAATGCGCCGACGAATCGGTTAAACCAAGGCGATCCGTCGAAGAAGACACCCGAGTAAAGTCAGCTGCCTATGGTCATCCGACCCATCTCTATTTTGGGGGGGCTGTGCATCAGTGGCGTCTTCCAAAAACTGCGACTTCAGCAATTAGGGGCTTTGTTTTCTGTGATTTGTGTGAGTTGTGGCTGTGTTTGCACGACGGACGGACGGACGGATGGACGGACGTACGGACGGATGGATGTGATTGGCGTACAAAATCGAATACGAATTTTACAGATACCTTGACATCTTTCATAGGCCAAGCGAGCGTTCGTTTAACCCATTCAACCGACAGCTATATCTGTGGCTACGGCTACGGCAGCCACCCAAAGAACGTGCCGGTGAATTCCAGTGACTACATTCGGGTCTTAGAACAGCCGCAGCCGGCGCAGCGTTGGCAATAAAATTAAAACAATTTACATTCGGTCACATTTTCACTTCATTCTCGGCTTCAAAAGCTGCAGCTTCGCATTCGGATTCAGATTCTTACTCAGAATCAGAATCAGATTCGGATCCAAAATGCAATACATAATAAAATACATAATTTCTGCATCAAATGTTTAGTTAAAATCTGTAATCCCAATAAAGATAAAATGAACCCACTATATTATTAACAGTTTTTTATTTGTTCGGTGAAATTGTTATGAAAAATAATTTAAGGGGATTGCAAAAAAATTAATATCATGTGTTATAGTTACAATTGATCCATTGCTGTCAGTTATTTTATTAGGTTTTTTAAATTAAGACGTACTGTAAAATATTAAAATAATATAAAATTGTAAACTGCATGTCGACGTAGTTTACATTTTATTTTACATTTTAAGCCCAAGCTAGGGCGGAATTCCTATTATTTTGCCATAAATTATCCGATCGTTCCCATAAAAGCTTTATGATATGTAATATAACTTAATTCTTAATTTTAACTTAACTTAATTTAATCCTTTCCCAGAAAGGAAAATATTCGTCCGAAAATATGATCTAAAACATTAAACCCTTAATTTGTTGCCAATGTGTAGGCAATAGAAAGAAGACTTTTGGGAAAGTTTTATCCCGCTAACTTTAAAACTGAGACTAGTTTGCTTAGATATGGCTATATCGACTTCTGCTGTGACTCCGATGATGCGTAAGAAAGCGCTTATACCCTTAACGAGAGAAAACGCTATAGTCGGTGGCCTCGAATATTAAATACCCGTTTCTCAGCTTAAGGGAGTGCGAGAGGGATGGAGATATCTTTGAAGCAACTCTGCCTTTTTCACTAACACACCTATCCTATAGAGCCACCTAGCGGCACCTAGCCTATAGCGCCACCTAACCAACTAGCTTATAGCTCCCCAAGCGGCTTGGTGGCGTATTAGTAAAAACAGCTTATTTGCCTCATGTAGTGTGAAATCTCTATTCTATTGCAAAATATTGATTATTATTTGGCTATAACTTTTTAATATCTGGTCCGATTCCAATAAATTGGCATGTAGATTGGTATTGATATTAAAAAGAAAATCTTTTTAAAATTTTTACAAGATCTAAAAAAATGTGGGAGGTAAACGGGTTTTAGTATTATGGTCGTTGTGGGCGTCAAAGTGGGCGTGGCACCCTGCTGAAACAAACTTACGCTGCACAGGAAGCCCAAGAATCTGAATGCCAAATCCCAACATCATAGTTTCCGAGATCTTAGCGTTCATCCTGTTCAAGAACATATATACTTTACGGGGTCGAAAACGCTTCCTTCTACCTGTTACATACTTTCCGAAGAATCTACTCAACCTTTTACTCTACAAGTAACGGATATAAAACTATATATATATATATGTATTCCTAAGGATAATTTAAGGATCAGAAAATGGTACTTATCAATATCAATAAACATTATGTTACAATAGGATTTTTAGTACAACCATTTCGTATTTTGTACATTAACAGATTTCTAATCGCTCTATTTGTTCGATTTAATCTAAAATATGATTTATAATATAATAACTATTTTTCTAGATCCGTGTATATAGAAAGTTATATCCACCCTTTTAAGAGAACTAAAGGATCTTCATTGCATTTCGGCAATGAAAACCATCTGCCATTCG